CTCACGCTCTTTCTTTAACTGAGATGAGGCAAAGGCAGACTTAAAAATTGTATCAAAGACTTACGGTTTATTAAGGGCATTTTGCTGGGACAGATGTCCTGTGTTTTCTTCATGTCGTACTGGTATATAGCACATGAATCAAACCAAAACCAAATAAAAATGGTTGTTCCCTTTCCTGCATTTTTAATATTTAAATATTAAGTTTTAATACTCTGAAAAGCTTGAACCCAGACTTGTCTAGTTTCCACATTCAGCCCATTCACAGGTCACAACCATTTCTATATCTTACCTTTGTTGTGTGTAGACTTTCACATGCTTTTCTAATGCACCTAGATCTACCTATGTCTCAACACATTATACTCTTAGACTGCAGAGATTCCAAGTTGAAAATCAGCCTGTATGACACAGTTCAAACGATGTCAACTTCTAAAACTAGAAAATAATACTTCCAGAATTATGGATTAAAAATCATTACTATGGAAACATTCAGTATATGTTCTCCGAACAAGACCTGTTCTCCTCAAGCTCTTCCTATTTCATTTAAGCTGCCTCTGGTTGGATTAGTTGAAAACCTTTTGGTTGGGAGTGTGTACAACTCAGCAATGTTGTGCTGAATCTTTTATCAAAAGACACTTTGATCAACCACTAGTAAATTTTACTGATTGCTCAGGTAAGCTTGCCTCTTTCTAAATACCTATTTACTTGTAAAACTTCATATGTGCAGAATTTGGATTGCTTCTTGGGACTGTGCCATGACTTGAAAACAACTCTGAAACTGCTGGAACGAAGGGTAGATGTTACTAAAAAGATTGATTTAAATGTAGCACATGGATCTTATGCACCTTACAATATAGCCAGTCTTAACTGCAAGCAGTTTTTCTAAGAGCACAACTCTACTGAATTTAGAAGAAAGTAATGAGTGTTGCCTAGGAATTTTTGATGATGTTTAATTATTTAGATGTGCATTAAGACCTTATTTGTGTATCTTTATATAAATTAAAAAAACACTGAAGACATCATTTTCTTTCCTTGTTTTTTTTTGTTGAAGGTTGTCTGAAATAGGGTATTTGAATATAACAGCCCTGAGTAGTATCAGGGAAGTTATTAGAATGGTTTAATTAAATGTCTACTTAATCACTCATAGAAGCAATTCATAAGCACTAATCTCTGAACTAACATTTAACACAGGCATTCTGTTAAGACACACCAGTTTTACAACACGTATTTTTGACACAGACTTCAAAGTAACGCAGATAACTCCTTATGAAACTAGTGCTGTCAAACGCATTCATTAGTTGTCAGTACAGCCTCATTATCAAGTACTGCAATCCAGCTGGGTTATTTATTGCTTACAAATGCTTCAAACTACAGGAAATCTTTGGTAAAAAGAAAATTGATAAAATTTTCACAATAGCTTTACATGTAGTATTGCACAACAAGGCTTTTTCAATACACAAGAAAAAAGGAATGCTCAAATCCTCAGTGAGGAGATTAGAACTGTACAACATTCATTAGTTTACCACTATGAGCAAAATTTCTTTTCATAAATGTTTAAAATATTTTCTGGTTTCTTTCAGCTTATATGAACATTTATTTTTCAATCTATATTTCAAACAGAAGAGTAGTCAAATAGAACCATTTAAATAAAAATTGGCAACTATACAGCATTGTCTTGTCTACCCTACTACAGCATCAGATCTTTTCAAGTCTGTTTACTTCACAAAAAACTCAAGAAGAAAGAAAAACGCTAAAAATAATCATAGTCCTCAGCCCTCTATGGAATAGAGGAAAATAAGTTTCATGTCTATTATTGGACATAGACATTTCTCTAGTGGTCCAGTTGTGCAGATTCAAACCTAAGTGGCATTAAGCTGCTCTAAATGAGCTCTTAGCTCAGGACACAGTTCAGTTAGCAGCAGTTCCAGCAAAACCTGAAAAACAGAAACGAGTTCAGGTAAGCCCAGGTGCCGCATGACAGTTTCTTCTTCCTTTCTGTCATGTTCAGAGCATCACGGATAAGAGAAGCATGGAAGGTCACTGTACTCATCACTCATGCAATTCCATCCTAAAGTCAGCATGCAACTTGCAGGTAACATGGGAAATGTCTTAAGGCTAAAAGAGGGCAAGTGCCATGGGGGCAGCTGCCTTCATTCAGGTGGGGATTTCCCACCCTGCATAAACCAGTCTGTTCTGTCGAAGCTGCAGCAGCTCCATCAGGAAGCACCAGGGCACGCGCTGCCTGAGCAGGCTGCATCTGCTGCTGTGCTGAGGCTGTGTTATGTGACTGGCTGCATCAGGGAATGAGCCAGAAGAGACTGACTGAGGGAGAAGGTATTATACTTGGATCCAGCTGTGTACTCCGACCAGTCACAACCAGCAGCAGAGGAGGCCTGTCATGGCATAACTGTGAGCCAGGTCTGGAACTCTCCCTCCTTAGGATTTTCCAAGGTGTCTATTTTTCTCAGCTATGCGAAGAGACTAGTTTGTGTCTTACAAAGTCAGGAAAGTTAGATGTGGTAGAGGGTCTCTCTTAGACAAAGGCAATGCTGTTTTTAAAATTAAACAGCTTTTCATTATTCAAAATTAGTCAAGTGATGTAACCAAGTACATTTTTTCTGACTTATTTTAATAACAAAAAATGTTACTTGCACACAGAACAACTAACAAATTTCTGCAAAAACACACCCCCCAGGCTCTAATACAGAGGGAGCAGAGCTCAGCAATTAACAGGAGTATAAAGTTAAAAGGCTAGTTTTCTAGTTACTCACATAGAGTAGATGCTTGTTTGCCTTTCTTTCTTGCAATGCATTGAACACTTTCACTACACCATGGCGGGCATTTTGTTGTCCAACAAGACTCTGCAGAGTATCTGCAACAAACATTAATTTAGCTTACAGTGTTTCATTCATGCTAGGCAACACCTCCAGCTAACCGTACTACGCACAAAGGAGGGCAAATTAAACCACTGCACTTCATGGCTCTTGGTTACAAGATACAGGTTAGGTCAGGTTGAAAAGACACCCTTATTCTCAAGTTACCCAAGTTTAATAAGGGTATATGCATCTCAATGACAACATTTTTTAGTATTTTAACATGATATATAGTATGCCTTTTAGACAGTTTACTTCAGAGAGTCAAGTCTAATCTCATACATTAATAAATCATTCACTTAAATATACCTTCAGCCACAAAGACAGAATTCCTACAACAGTTAAAACAGATTCAGCACTTTAATTGCCTCCGAATCTTCAGGGAAAATACTTCCCACAAGTAAGTCAATTATTTACAATTTGGATTAAACTAGATAATAAATAGTAATCCAATGCTTCGTGAATTTAAGGTACATTAAGCTGTGTCCTGATACATCTCTCCAAACTCAGAAACATAAAAAACAGAACCATAAACCAACTGTGGAAACCTATGCCAAGTAATTAGGTGAGTATCTAACAGAGAGAGTAAATGAAGGGTTGATCACACATCAAATGACAAATATTTTTCATGCATACCTGCCGCTATTTTTGCAGTAAAAGTTGATTAAACAAACTAATACAAGGGGTGTATGAGACACCTCAGCCATAAAATAGCTCGTTAAAGTACATTCTGTTCAGCTGGAGGGGAACATCCTGGGTTCAGCTGTAACCGTTGTTTTTTCTCCTTCCGGGTAGCTGGTGCAGTTCTATGCTTTTAGTCTGAGAACAACGCTGATAACACACCAATGTTTACTTGTTGCTCAGCAATGCTTACTCTGATCAAGGACTTTTCAGTCTCTCATGCTCTGCATAAGAGGGGCCAAGAAGCTGGGAGGAAGCAGAGACAGGACACCTGACCCAAACTGGCCAAAGGGGTATTCGATAACACAGCACGTCATGCCCAGTATAGAAACTGGGGGGAGTTACCCATAAGGGACCAGTCGCTGCTCGGGTCAGACTGGGTATCAGTCAGTGGTGGTGAGCAATTGTATTGTGCATCACTTGTGTTTATTGATTCTCCATCTACCCCCCCCCCCCCTTTTGTTTTATATTCTCTCCCCTTGTTATTTCCCTTATCATGAGTAGTAGTAGTTTTGTTTCCTTACTAGTTATTAAACTTGTGATTAAGCAGAATGAAAGTGATCTCACCTGGAATGTTTTCAAGTAGTTTTTGCTGTGCTCTCTGTTTTGTCTCACGCTTTTGTTCATCGCTCTTGGCTCTTGGTGGTGGTGCTAACTTGCCATTTGGCCAAAAAGCATCTCGAAACACGCCAATGTAGTAAACAAGCATTGGTTCACTGAACATCCAATGTACAGTGTCACGAATTTGCCTGTGAAGAAGTACAGAAGGGACTATATCATGTTTTAGGCAGATTTATTCTTTTATTCCTGAAAGTAGTGGAAGGGATGCTCATTTTCATGTAGTTATCCCAATTTATCTGAGCTGATTTCACCTGCATCCCAGCAATTTATATTCAGCTCTGGGTTCTCTAGGAACTCCAGACACCTGACTGAGATGTGGAGAAGGCTACATTTCAATGTAAACCACAAACACAGATTACAAATTAATACATATAGTACAAATTAGTACAGTGAACTGTATTTCAGGGGTGGGTACTACAAAAGCTCCCCTGGAAAAGACATAAAAATCAACTAATTTTGGTGAACTCCAAACTAGTTGCATGCTAGTTTTATCCCACCATGGCTGGTGGGATAAAAACAGATGAAGTTTTGATAAAAGCACAGGAAGTTCCCTCACACATAGCAATACCACGTTAGCGAAGGGATTACAGATGGAGACAGCAGCCTCCTCCTGTGGCTGCAGGCACTCACTGCAGCCTTCAGCACAAAGAGTCCGAGGTAGACAGCAGGCTCCAGGCTGTGCCACAGTACAGCCAAACGCCTTAAGATCAGTAAATGTAAAAACTCAACCAACATGTAAAAGGCTATACAGCAACTCTGCATGCATGCTGTGCTCACACACATACTCTCTCTGTCCTTTCTGAGGTGTCTTTCATGCTAGTTATCAGCAGTGTATGAACAAATGAAGTGAATGGATACTGCCAGAGGCCAGTCCAATTTACCACTACATAACATGTGTGAGAGGTTTTAAAAGCCATGCTGTCATGTGCAAATTTAGTCACTGACTGGACAAAGGAACAGCCTGTTCTACTGGGAGAATACTCTTCCAGACTTTTTCTGACCAATGGTGTAACTTCCCACATGGAAGGTGTGTACAGACACGCATGCTTACTTCATAGCCTCGTCCAGGCCTCACTTGGCAGTTATGTCTTCAAATGATACAGAAAAATACCTTCATGAAAACACATCACTGTTACACGTGCACAGGTTTCATGTTATAACGTAATGGTTCTCATCATGTGTAAACATTATTACGGTCACTTTTGAGAAACAAGTATTTGATTCGAAAGAAACTACTTAAACCAGAAACCTAGCTTCAGATGTGGCAAAAACCTTCATGGGACTGTAAGATAAACCAGAAACTAATAAAAGACATTTAGAGCCAGGTCATTCAGAACAGGATAACAAGTCTTTTAGGGGGAAACAATAAGGAAAAATCTAATTCATATATCTGTGTCTTCTCTAATCAACATAGTGTGTTTTTAAATTGAGCTGTGGAAAACAAATGCAGATTGCCATACAATAGAATGTCACAGTTTTGTTTCTTTTTTAACAGTTCTGATCTCAGCCATTTTTTCATAGAACAATGATGCAGGTTCAGTTAAATTAGCACCTACTTACTTGTTGATAGTTCTTCCAAAAGTGACTTGTACTAGTGCAATTAATGTTTTTCTGACCCACTTGAACACTAGAACAATGAAAAATGACAGAAAATAAAGATCAAGAGATTAGCAACATCAGGGAACCCATGATGATGCCTAAAATTCCCCCACTCCCAAAACCCACCAACCCGCCCCTACAGTAAACATAGAATCATAGAATGGTTTGGGTTGGAAAGGACCTTAAGATTTTCTAGTTCCAACCCCCCTGCCATGGGCAGGGACACGTCGCACTGAACCATGTCACCCAAGGCTCTGTCCAACCTGGCCTTGAACGCCTCCAGGGTTGGAGCATTCACAACTTCCTTGGGCAACCTATTCCAGTGCCTCACCACCCTCACTGTGAAGAACTTCCTTATATCTAACCTGAACTTCCCCTGTTTAAGTTAGAACCCATTACCCGTTGTCCCAGTACTACAGTCCCTGATTAAGAGTCCCTCCCCAGCATTCCTGTAGGCCCCCTTCAGATACTGGAAGGCCGCTATGAGGTCTCCACGCAGCCTTCTCTTCTCCACATCTGTTAGAATCCTTTCAAAGACTTCACTAATTGTGCACGGCTCTGATTTTTCTTGACTGCTTTCCCTGTACTGTTTGCTATATGATTTTTAAGTCTTGCAGATTACATAAACATATCTATTTACATATCTGGCTTTTGTGGTTTATACTGTAAACTTTAAGAGTATTTCAAGTTTATTGAGCTGTGCAACTACCTAAACCCCTTTTTCTACTAAAAAAAAGAGAACCCCCCCCAAAATTCACACCCTTTCCATATCCACTTGTCTAACATACACACAGCAGCATCATTAAAATTCTGAAAACATTTTCTCTCAAATAAATCAAGCAGTTAGCTTTTCGTTACACATAAAGGAAACAAATGTGAGTGCTTCCTTGTAATTACTGGTTAATCTTTCTTTCAAGGCAGTTTGCCATCAGCACAAGAAAGTCTATATTTGGAATATACATCTGCCATTTTTGGAAGGTGCTGCATTTTTTAATAGTCACCCTGTAAATAATTTTATAGGGTGTCAAGTGTAGCTGCACATTCAAATAGAGACAAAAATAGTTTCCTTCATTACCCTCATTCAGTTACGTGTGGCATCTTTTCCATTATAAAATTGTGAAACTGAAAGGCACACATAATACACTTCAAATGGACATTAAAATTATATTGCTTTACCAGTGACATGTTCTGTAATAAAGCCATCTTTCCTTCCTCATAATCCATGCGTTCCAACATGCAGCCTATTTACAGAGAACATGCCGTTGTACTTTTCGGGGGGGTTTCCAGCTTTTTTAAATCAGAAACTTAAGAATACTAAATTCAAATGCTTTCTCCTACTGATTACATTTTTATCGCCATGTTATTTTGGAATTTCACTTTTGAATAAAAGCTCTGGAGTCATGAACTACTGAAGAACAGCTCTGTTCCAAAGAAACTGCTGATACAGACTGCAAGAACATTTCTACTTATTGAAACAGCATAAAAATCTAAATTACAAAGTCCCCCAGATTTCCTGGCCAACAGATGCCACTGGCAAATAAGCAGGTTTACAGCTTACTTCCTCGCAGCTCAAAAATCTCTCCAATCAGCATG